TGCTTTTCACGAAGCAAATTTCATGAAAGATGAATTGGCTTCTATATGTATGGCAAATGTCTCTATATTGGTTTCTAATTTCCCCGTTATTGTTTTTTAAGTTTCATTTCTATCATTAAAAAAGGCAAAAATATGTCTTATTATTGAAAGAGAGAAAATCTTTATCAAGATTCCCACCTCTTGTCTCCTTTTATCCTCTATTTCTTTAACATAAAATAAACTTCTTCCTTTTTCCCCAAAACTAAAGTTACAAAAAAAAAAAGCCAAAACCATTTTTCTTTTCTTATCTTCCTTGCCCACCCACCCACATCAAATCACAACAAACTGAGACCAACCCCAACAATCCCAACCCTCCCCAATGGATCAACACCATGAAACAGAAAAGTTAAAAAGAAACAGAGGTGGTTGTTGAAGAAGGAGAAGAAGATGACCCATTATCCTCCAAGTTTCTTGGGACACCCACCCCAACCCCACAACCTGCAGATTCCATCAAGCCACCCAAATCAGCATCACCTGCTGCCCCAAATATCAAGTCAAAATTTTCTTCAAAGCGCAAGTCCTCAAACAAGTCTGGTAACTCCAAGGGCTTGTTATCCAGAGGGATGTCAGCAACTGGAAGTTGAGCCATCAATCCTGTGTCCAAAAAGTTCCAAGTGAACCTGTGTTCATCTGCAGCATCCATGACTTGGTCCATTGTATTACTTTCTATGCAATGCAGAAGATGTGGATACTGAAGTTGGGTGGTTGGGACAAATTGTTCTTGTTGTTGTTCTTGTTGTTGCTGCTGTTGTGGTTGTAGTTGGTGCACTTTGTGCTCGACTTTTTTGTCTTCCGGTAGTCCGGCATCGAAGCATTTGGGAGGAGGTTCTTCTGATTCTTTCTTGAATTTGTCAATGTAGTTGCTGATATCAAAATTGGTCACTGCATTTGCTCCTCTGTACTCTATTGCTGCCATGTCATACGCTGCTGCTGCCTCCTCTTGTGTATCTTCAATAACACACAATAAATCAAATTATAAAATTAAAAAAACAACAAATAATGAAACAATATAAAATCAACTAGAACTACATTGTAAACCACGTGGGATTCACCTGTAAACGTAGTTACGTGTTATTAGTGATGTGATCTACAATGTGATAGATAAATATGGTTCGACTGTTTAAACAACATTATGATTAAAAGCATATGTGTATACAGAACTCATGTGACATTGATAGTTCATAGTATTTAACTAAAAAATCAATACTAGGTGAAGATCATTATGCATTTGTACAATTGCACCAAATAATTCATCTACAAGAATTTCAATGCCCCACAACACCTAATTTTTGTAGCATTTAAAAAGCAAAAAAGAAGGTAGGAATTAGGTGAAGGCCTACAAGTATCCTTCACTGCTTCACATGCTTGTTTTCAATTTCCCTTCCCCCACTGTTTTTTTTTTTTTTGGGGTCTTCATTTGTAACCACAAACATTGAAATTTGGAAAACAAAAAGGCAAAATATAAGAAAAGAAGATGCACAGAACCTGAAGCAGTGGATCTATGTTCCCCCGACAGTACAGAATTCATGCTTTAAAATATGTTGTCTTGAATTTGAAACCCTAATTTTTCTCTTGCAATTGTCTTGAATTTCAAACCAAACACCTTTTTTGTCCCTATCATTGTCGTATAGGTCGCAGAATTTTAATTTGATACGAAATGTGGTCACTTGTAAATGTAAATACAAAAATTAAAAATTAAAAAAAATCATAATTTGAGAAGAGCAAAATCATGGATCATGTATTTTGTCAGGTGGGAAATGGAAAATTAGCTGAGTTTGGCTACCAAAAAGAAATAAAAAATCTGTGTAACCTTTTTTTTAATAAATACTTTTAGATAAAGATACTTTGTGTGTAAAGTATTGATGCTTGAGATCAAATGAAGCATATTTTATTCAACTACAATAACTAATTAATTAATTTTTTTTTAGGACTTTTCTATTGAGATGGGCGATAATATACTAAAATTACGCACACTACACGGATGTTAAGACTCGAATCCAAGAACTTGCGTGGCGGAGCAATTACTACAAACTACTATACTAGTGGGTCCTTTGCCTCTAATTCTCTACTTAACAATTAGAGAAAGCTAGTGTCCATAACTAATTTGCGCGTGAACAACTGACAGCTATTGACGATTATAATCCAAAACGAGAGAATGAGAATTATATCATCAAAGGTTGAGAGTCATGCACACGCAATTTAGAATCGAGACTAGCTTTCTAGGTTTTTTTTTTCAGAAATGAGATGGAAAGCACACGCACGCACCCAAGATTTGGACGGTGTGGATCTGGCATAAAAAAAATACAGCAGCAAGACAAGGCCAGGATGACTTGGCACACCCAGAGAGAGCCACAAGAAGAGCAATAGGACACGTGAGCCCCCGTGCCCGTCGCTTTCTTGAATCAAAACCAAGATCAGTCTGATCCACTGTGTCCCTTTGAAGAAGAATGACAGGCAACTTTTATCCTCTCTCTCTCTCTCACTAAAAGGCAAAGGCTGGGTGTCACGTGCCCCACTGCTGGCAATTTGCAGCAAATATCACACTCTTTTTGCTTCTAAAAAACTCTCAACCCACTCATCTGACCAAAAGAAAAAAAGAAAAAAAATAAATAAATAATCTCTCAACCCACCCTCAGATCCAGTCAACGCAATCGTTGGCTAGTTGCGTGTACCTCCTGCTACTATTGTACTTCCGCATGTACCTGATTACCATCCTAAACCCAAAACCCAAACCAAATCGTACTTTTCTAGGGTGTTTTAATGGTTTTTAATATTCCCTTTTTGGTTTCAAAAATTCAAATGAAAATAGTTTTATTTTACAAAAAAAAAAAATTTGAAAAACAAGATCAGAACAAACAGTTATGTTTCAAAAATAATAATTTATTTTCATTTACTCAGGCAAAATATTTGGCATTTTTGGTGGTCCAACTACCTTTATTTGCTAACCTAATAAGTAATAACTCTACCAGTTCAATCTTTTGGCAAACTTCCTAGTTGAACCTAAAGTTTACTTATTGATAACATTGATTACGAAACTGCCGAACCTAGGACGTCGGGTGCGGGGTAAACACTGTTAATCACTTGAGCTACATGCCTCTTATGACATAAGAGGCTGTATTTGTTTGTGGGTTGCGTAATTTTTTTTTCTCAAAGGAATATACATAATAAAATAAAATTAACACACACAAAAATAGAAGATAATTTAAAATTTTCATACAGAAAACAGATTCATTTTGACATGTATATTATATTGGTTTGGACCGGAATGGAAAACTAAAGGTGCTACGAAATTGGCCACCTCTGTGCATTGGCTGACCCAAAGGTGCTAGAAATTGGCATCTATAGTCAGTAGAGCAGTTGGAAATTGGCAGCATCCAGTTCTTCAGAAAATTCCAAATTAAAATTAACCGACTGACTTTTCTGAAAATTTCTGCTAAAAACTCCTTAAAATTTTTATTATAAATTTGACAAAATGTGAAGGCATGCATAGTGAATGAAAGTCCACTGACTGAGGCAATTGAAATTGGATCTGAAAATTTTGGAAAATATAATAATTAAAAGAGAAGAAAAGAGAGGAGAGGAGAAGGTACATACTATAAGTTCCAAGGTATAAATACTTGTTTCCAAATACTCTTCCAATTCTGGCCTCCCATCTTCCGTTATGATGATGCCTGTAAAAAAAAAAAAAAAAATTGTATAAATTTTTTACCCAAAGGATTGCATTGCATTCCCAATTTGGCGTGTAAATTGCATTTAATTACCTAGCCACGCCGCGGTACTTGGAAACGCCTCTAGAAAATCCGCTGCTCCGCCGACGCAATGAGGCTAGGTATTCTTCCCGGGAAGCCTTCTGCATTTCTTCAAGCTCCTTTGTGTATGTTTCCATCTGCAGCATTGCACGCAAATTCAACCATTAGTGGCAAGTTTAGAGGACATTAATCAGTACCCCAAAATGGGAAAAAAAATACATGTATTCCCAGACTTAACCATAACCGTCACACACGTGACAGAGTCCGTGTGTGACGGGATTAGAGTGAAAGAAAGACATTTCTCCACAGACATAAAGGTTGGAGTAATAAATGTACCGGGAAATTCAGGGTTGTCCCGGGGCCCCAATACTTAAGGGCAGCAAGATCATAGGTATGAGCAGCAGCCTCCTCACTATCGTAGGCCCCTATATACATGCCATAAATAAAATAAATTAATCTATAAAATTAATAAATAACGTCAAAGGGAGGCAGAGGCAGAGGCACTTTATTTAATAACACCCCGTCAGCCCCCATGACCACATAATTATTATGAGAAAGATTCTTTTATTTTTACCTTTTATATATATCTTATTTTTCCAGAAGTGGAAAAATAAGATTAAATTAAATTAAAAAAATAGAGAGTCAGAGGAGGATAAAAGAAAATACGAGTAAAATATTAGATTGAAAGAGAAACTGACTTACCCAAATAAACTAATTAAGCAGCGGCAAGAGTAGAGCATACCAACGTTGCATTGACAGAGGTTTTTTCAGGAATAAAAACACAGTCAGAAACACACACACAAAAATAAAAATAAAAAGATTATCAGATTTTTTTTATAAAAAAATTCAAATTTACAGATCTCCTTGGACCCGATCAGGATTCAGTAAAAGAAATTTAATTACCTTGTCGTCCTTTTTTGTTCTGAATGTTGTTCCATGAGCTCTTATCCCAGAGATGAGCTTCAAATCTTCCAGTCCATCTATGCCTGTGGACCCAAAAAACACAAAATGCAGCAAAATTTCACACATGCAAATGAAAATTGAGAAATCCCGTGGAGAAACAAATGGGAAATTCTCTGTTAAAAAATTGTGGGAAATTAGTGGACCTGGTGACCCCTCTGTAAATGGAGCTTCTTCTGCCCCCTCCTGTGTTTGGGTTGGTGCCATTTTGGCATTTCTCTGTTGGGTTGTTCTGGTTTTTCCTAATCCGCTTGGCCTTGGGCTTCTGATTCTCTGCCTGGTTCAGATGGGGAGTTTCAGGCCCTGCATATGAAGATGAAGAAGAGGAAGAAGAAGAGCAACAAGAACTAGGTGACCTCTTCATCTCCCTTTCAATTAAAGAGAAAATGAGAAAAACCCAACAAGAAGAAGAAGAAACTTGAAGAGGTGGATGAAAATTGGAAGGGAAGATGAAATAGTGGAAGATGTAAATGCATGTCTGGGCTCCTCTGGTTTTATGGTGAGTGGGTTTAATGGAGTTGTACTAGTACAAGAAGAAGTGGCATTTGGGGTAGACAAAAGTGGTTTACCGAAAAAGAGAGAGAGAGAGAGGACTGCGGAAGAAAGAAGTTGGAAGGGTGGTGTGTAAAAATATACAAAGAAGCAAAGACCATTTTTCTGGTTTTGTGTTGTGGGGGGTTAACCTCGGGTCAAAGTTGGAGCTGGGTTAATTAACCAAGAGTTAATTAAGCACCCTACACTTGGCTTAGGCCCCAGTCATGCTACCAATCGGATTTGCTTTCCACGCTGGCCTTCCTAAGCTTCAAAGAATCTCTCCATCCCAATTTTTAAAATTGAAATTAATTTCTACCATATGGCTAATGTATATCTGTTACTTTATGGGTTTGAGTTGGGCCTCTATGTCCCACTTGAGAACAACTGAATTTGCCCTCAATACTTTCAAATATTACATCCACAACCCATGTTTCAGATTCTAGTACCACCCACCATATTGTTGGGCTAAATTTCAGCATTTGGGCTTGACATTGGGCATTGTTTGGAAATCTCTTTTTAACCCGGATAAAGTTTTCCAGAACCTGTTTGGTTCGCGGAAAAAATTTGAAGGGAAATCATTTCTCATGTCTTTTTTTCAGGGATGGAAAATTAAACATTTCTTTCCCATGTTTGGTAATATTGAGAAAGTGACCAAAACATACCAGTTTATTTCCTTTCTCATGTCTGGTGTTGCATGTAGCATGGTGCCATTTATGTCTTATACAACCTCAAAACTAGAGTTTAAAAATGTTAATTATATTAGGATTATAGTGTGCTTACTATTATTACAACCTACATTTACAAAATATGAAGCTATTGCAATAACCTTAGCAACCTCGAAAAATGACATTTTTCCTTATTCCCATATTTGTCGGCGCATATACAATATTTTTCATATATGTAGAAACAACCAATCTCATAGATCCCGAATATCTTTGTTGTTTCCGCACATTCATGATTCAATCTATACAATTTCCTGATTATCCCTCGTTATTTCGGCCCTAGATGATTTGCACAAAGTGACATTCTTGAAATAGATGACGCAATGTTTCTTGTTATCTATTTATGAAATGAAAAGTACATATTTAAGCTACTTATATGTTTTCACATCTTGTCCTTGGTTTATACATTTCATTGAATCAACATCCAAATGAAAAATTATGTTTTAAAAGAATTTTCAATTTCCATATAAAAACAATGCAAGGGTATGAACTTACCCTCGTTGGATCCACACAAAAAATTCAACTAGGAATGTTCCATTAGGAGCAAGATCCATATTAACATATCAATAGTTTGTTACAAATGAAAATTTTTAGCCCTAATCAGCAACATCAGCTAGCAAAAGAATTCATATAGTTTAACAAGATTTTAGTAACCGTGACACAATCGATGAACTCGAAAGCCCAAGTGATGGGCAAGTAGTCAAAGGGATCATTTTAGGTTAATACTGGTTTTTTAACTTTGAGAGTTTTGAATAAGTAACTCAATTATATGTTTTGATTGGTATAATGGCATGAAAAATTTAAATAATTAATTTACTTATGTTATTGGTTTTGTGGTATTAAGTAATTTTGTTGAGCTTTGATGTCAGCTTGTTACTAACGATAAATAGCATGTGACACTTAAATTATATATGACAATAACTTTTAAAAAAAGTGTTAATACCAAATATGAATTGGGTCGAGTGCCGCTATTTTCACCCACTATCTCCCACCTTATCTTCACACCCACCATATAAATTTTAAAAAACACAATCCTATTTTTCCACCGACTATTATTTCTAAAATACCCTTTAATTATCACTTCATTCTCTCTGTCTCTGTCTCTCATTTTATTGTCAATTGTTGCATCTTATTTTCCATGTCTCACGCCCCACCTTAACAACCAACTGCCCAACAGCCCCTCTGCACCCTAGAAACAGAGTAGATTTTATTAGCTTTTTAAAATCCTCTTTTGTTATTCATTTGGATTTTTTTTTTTTTTTTGGGACGAAAAATCATTTTTTGGATCTTTGGCTCCACTTTAGAACAAGAGGAGCATTCTCTATCACTCTCCCAGCATTCATCACCATTACACCCTGACCAAGAACAGAGCTCAAACCGTAGACTTGTTGATTTATCCCCAGGTTTTCAGGGTTTTTATTTATTTATAAATAAAAAAATAAGAGTCCTAGAAATACCCAATCTCCCAATGATTTAAGTAACCGTAAAGATCTTAGAAATTCTATTATGAAATGGAAAGTTCATATTTAAGCTACTCATACGTTTTAACGTCTTGTCCTTAGTTTATACTTTTCATTGCATCAACATGCAAGTTAAAAATTAAGAATATTCAATTTTAAATTTCCATTTAAGAACAAATAAAAAAGGGTATGCATTTACCCTCGTTGGATCCACACAATAAATTCAACTAGGAAGGTCCCATTGGGAGCAAGATTCTTACTAACATAGTAGTGGTTGGTTATAAAGGAATATTTAAAGCCTTAATCTTATGGCTTAACAAGATTTCAGTTAACATGACATAATAGTCAATGGGATCAAGATACTCACAAATAATGGTGATAATGAACATATAGTGGATTTGATGGTTGATATGGTGAGAGGTGAAACTAAAAATCTAAAACTAGCATGTGATGGTGATGATCATTTTAGGTTAATATTGGTTTTTTAACTTTGATCTTTTTGAATAAGTAACTCAATTACATGTTTTGATTACAACGTCCCCCATTGGACCACCGTGCACGCGATAGCAATGCCGAAATGTTCGCGGCCATCGTGACTTTTAGGCCATTTCCAGCCACTTTCAAGTAGATAGAACTCCTTTCAAACTCATTTCGTTGATATAAATTTCATCTAAATCGGAAGTCATTTGTGATTTTGAATTCGGGACCATTTAGATTCGTGTGCGCCCCACATGTCTTGTAGGCCCGGAGGCCTTTCGAGGCCTCTTGACCTCATAGAAAGCTCTAGAACGTCCATTAAACCCATTGGGGGTGTCATTGGACAAATTAGTGTAGGTTTCACACGTAGTTAGGATTTCGGGTAGTAGGTTTTTATTTTAACGCGTCGTTATGCGTCCGATTGAGTCTAATACCAGGGCCCCGCATACACCAACAACGAACCCGTTGTGGATATTGAGCTAGCTTTGGACTATTGTGAGTGGGGTATGTTTTCAAAACGCATTCAACTGTCTCAAGCCACGTTAAGGCATAAATTTCCACTATCTTCCAATAACTTTATGCTACCGTAGGATTTCTATTTCTTTCATGTTCTAAACTTCTCTTAAGTTTTGAAACTTTGAAATTAAGTAGACTATTGCTCTGATATGCCCATTTCTAGATTGTAGCGACTTGTGTAAAGGGCATGAGACCTTATTGGACTATTGGTTTATATGTTGGATGATTTTTATTTATTTATTTTTTTTTGTCAAAAGATATGTTGGATGATTAAGGTATTGGATATTGATTCATTGATGATCTCGGAACTTTATATGTGTTTTTCTTATAGGTAGAAATTTGGTGATAGTGTCAATTACAATGGAGATTCTGTCGAATTTTCGATACAAGTCTTACTGTCTTGTTTTCCCATTTGGGTGTCAGACATGCTCAAGACTTTCTTTCGGACTCCAAAGGGGAATCTGGGGTGGGTCCTAACAGAAACCAAATAGAACCATAATTTCCATAAAAGATTAATCCACCTGTCTCACACGTGATCACTTCTTAAAGGGTATTTTGGTCATGACATGCTCCCTTGCTTTTCTTCTTCCTCTCACTCCATTATCTATCACCTGTCTCATGCTCGCTCTCTCTTCATGTTCATGTTTGATCATTAAAATCATATTGGCCTCTTTGGTTCATAGAATGAATTGTTTAAGAATGAATCTCCCATGTCTATTCCCATGGGATGAGAATAGAAGATTATCACACACCTGTTTGGTTTGTATAGTAATAGGAATTAAACTTTGTTCACTTTTCTAATAATACCCTTAGTTTAGTCATAATGGTATTCAATAAATGTTTTTCCAAGTCATAGGAAATTCAAACCCAAGAGCGAGCAAGGGTCTCATTTTCCCATGATATCGGAAGTCCATACACAAGTCTTGCTGTCTTATTTTCCCATTTGGGTGTCAGACATGCTCAAGACTTTCTTTCGGACTCCAAAGGAGAATCCGAGGTGGGTCCTGACAAAAACCAAATATTGCTTTTCTTCTTCCTCTCACTCCATTATCTATCAACCGTCTCATGCTCGCTCTCTCTTCATGTTCATGTTTGATCATTAAAATCATACAGGCCCCTTTGGTTCACAGAATGAATTGTTTAAGAATGAATCTCCCATGTCTATTCCCATGGGATGAGAATAGAAGATTATCACACATGTTTGGTTTGTATAGTAATAGGAATTAAACTTTGTTCACTTTTCTAATAATACCCTTAGTTTAGTCATAATGGTATTCAATAAATGCTTTTCCAAGTCATAGGAAATTCAAACCCAAGAGGGAGCAAGGTTTCATTTTTGGGGTTTAGATTCCAAAAAATGTATTTACTAAATATTGGAATGACATCTCATACTCGTATAACAAGTTTCACATATGTATATGTAATTCAAAGTAATGTATATGAAAATAAATGAGAAGCCAAAGTGAGGGTAGTGGTCACGGGTGAGTATGAGAGTAAGTTTGTAATTTGTCTTCATAGGGCTTCGAAATACAAAATTAAATACATATTTTTTGGTTCTCCACATGCCGAAAATCTTGTTTATACTCTTTAATAGGATTTATCCAACAATAAATCAAAGAACCCCAAACCTAGAGCATCAACACTAAGATTATTTAAAATTGTATTAGTCCATCAAATGACCATGAAAATCGACTCTAAAACTAGTTTTTGAAAGCTCTTAAAATGTTCCTTTAAACTTCCAAGACCAGTTTGATCATGGGCGGATCCCCTCCCCTATTATCGCTTGCATAAAAAAAAAATTAAAAAAAAAGAGAATAACAATCCTAACTAAAGTATCCTTGAAAATATGATCAGGTGCCTTGCACATGATAAATTTAGTATTAGGGGATGTTTACACATGTCACAGTTCATAAGGCATAGGGACAAAGTTCTCCCATGTCAAAGTTTAGAGGGCATAACTAAAGTTTTCCTAGAAACAAAATCTCAACACCTCTTTTACAAAAAAAAATAATGAAAAAGAAAAATTAACCTTGAAAATTTATTAGATTGATAATACTGATTAAACGAAAAATGAAGACACTAACCGTCCATGTTCCATGATGAGCTCATAATAGACGACCCAAAACTGATGAACAAATATGGGCTCCAAATGGCCACAGGCATTCTGCATTGCAAATTGATGGACTTAAAATGATACTTTTAAAAATGTTGGGGATTATTCATTGTAAAACCACAACGAAAATTATAGATTAGGGTTAAGGATATTTGGAATAATCGCAGCTGGACTGAGTAAAATGACTATTTTGAAAATTTTGAAATTTTTTTGGCAACGTAGAGAAATAGGTGGGTGAAGTAGTTGGAGATAAGTTGACTTCACAACCTTTTGTCAGATTTTCTTATTTTCAAGGCTTTTTATCACAAATGGTCCTTCACATTTATGAAATTATCACGAATGGTCCTTCAGGTTTTTTTGTGACACTAATAATCCTTAACGTTTGGGCTTTTTATCACAAAGGGTCCCTGCCGTTATAAATTCTGTTAAGTGTGACGTGGAAGATAAGTGGAGCCCACATGCCCAATCACATTGTGACATGTGAATAAAAAATAATTAAATAATTTTTTAATGATTCACAACCTTTTGTCTGATTTTCTTATTTTCTACTTCAAATTTGTTTTAATTGTACGGAATGCTGACATCATCTTTGTAAGTCTGCTTTTTATTTTTATTTTTATTTTTATATAAGCGATGATCTAAACTACTTTAAATTAATCTAATCTACACCGAGGGAGAGTCAAACTTAGGCGCAAGGGAGCAGGTTCACCCTAGCCAACTAGCCTAACTCATATCCACCTTTGTTTGTCTGCTTTGTTTCATCAAAACGAAAAAATAAAAATATTAGTTCAAAGCTTGGCCTTCTCTTCAGTATTCTCAACGGCATTGGGATAACTCTTTCCCTCTCTTTAGTTTCTGCGTTTAATTTTGATAGTAGGTGTTCTGGTTCTAGAGGAGGCTTTGTTCTTTATTGAGGTTTTTCTAAGGAAAAGAAAAAGGCAATAATACCATAAGCAATGTATGATGTGCACAACCACACACTACACTTAATTAAACCATTTTTGGCTTAATTAACAATCAACACAGGAAATCAGCTAGGGACCAAAATTACACCCGTTCATAAAAATTACATACTCTCTCATTCATAAAAATTACACTCAATTCATGGTAAGAGTTCAACTCTCGCCCTCACTCTTCCCAAGGCTTCCGTCCTAACAAAAGATTACTCACTTTTCCATATATATACATATAATAGTAATAATAAATAATAAAAAATTGCTCCTAACCTCACTCCGGAGACATTGTTCTATTTATCGCATTCCTCGACCACATTATCAGAAAAAAGAAGCAAAATGTGACAAGGGACTTGAATTAGCATTGCCACAGAGTAAAATACCACCCGACTCTATTCTATTTCTATACAATACCCTATCGAACATATAGCTTTGTGCTGCAGCCTGCAAATTGTACTCACCCAAATCATAATAGTTTGATCTTACAATCTGCAATTCCGTGTCATCTTTCTCAATTCCTTTCTCGAAATGTCTAGCGTACTTCATAATGTCCGGTTGAAGCTCAAGGGTTTCTGTTGGCTTATGAGCAAATGAGAACTTCCAATCCTGGGGCATGTTGGCACTGTTAGGACTAATCTGTGGCTCCCTAGTGCCACTGCTTGCCATCAGTCCTGAACCATGACAGTCATCGGCATACTGATTTTCAATGATTAATCCCTGAAAGAATGAACATTATTGTTTCAGAAACTAGATGATTCTGTTTGGATATCATATAAGATTTTGCATGAAGAACTACATGCTTATAATTTGACAAATTCAGGGTAAAAAGCCATATAAAATAGGAAAAAAATTAATTAGCACCAAGGAATAACATGGACCTGTTTATCATTGTGGCAAGAGATTGAGTTATTGGTGACTGCAGCATTTGAACTTGCTTGGAGTAAAGATATGCTTTTACCAACAGGGGTAGTAAAGCCAACTAAGTTGAGTGGTGGGTCTTCTGGCGATGAGAAGTCAGAACTATCAAAAGTTGATAGGGATACACACTCATCAAAATAAGACATGGCTTCTTCTGTTAGACGTTTCGACATCTTCCTTCTTTCAATGCTAGCCTGTAACCATAAATTAATAAAAGAACATGAAGGAAAGAGAACAAACAACCTGTGAAACTCTTACCGAGATGCTAGCTGTAAGGAAAATTTCAACTGTGTATTTGCAAACCTATGTTCTCCAATTATCATCACAGAGATTCATATTTATCCATACACAAAAATATAACAGCCTCAGAACAAGGGATGAAAAACATTCCATTTTAGTTATATTGACCATTTGTGCACAAACAGATGCATTTTTTTAAAGGCTTAAACAAACAATTTAAATGACAAATCCTAGACGCTTAATGCTTTTACAGAATGTTATTTTAAGCATGATGTGTAGTTTTACTAAGAGAGTAAAAATGAAATGAAGATCCATACACACTCACTTCATGTTCTGAAAAATGAAGCTATTTAGCATCTGCATCCAAAAACCAACAATATATAAACACAAGAAAAGAAAACATGCTTGTCATGCTCCCAGGAAAACAAGTACAAGCATATTGCATGGAACTTGACTAAATACTAAGAGAGAAGGTAGGGGAAGAAATAAAAAATTGAATATCCTACTTTTCTTCCGGGACGTGATTTTGGCACATTAGAGGTCTTGGGATCTGGAAGCACTTCCTTCAGGATCCTGCTGAGCTCTTGTCCACGGTGCTCCTCAACAGCCAGGTCCGATTGAAGTTTTCTAGAGCGTTCCAGGGACTGCAAGTTTAAGGCAAGGGTCTACTTAGTGGAGTTATGTTCCCCACATAAAACGTTAACAAAAAGGAGAAAAAGTAACAGAAAAGAAAAAGATTGTAGGATTTTTAAGTGTCACAGAAGTCCATGTACCATGCCTAGAATAAAAATGTTTCCTTTATGTCACAGCTGAGAGTAGCACAAAGGCGATCAACCTCTCTTTTATATCATGTCAACAGAAAAAATAATAAATAAATAAAAGAAAAACCGATCAAGCTGAATATATATGTCACTGCAATTAACGAAAAATACCATCACCCAAAGTCCTGTCAAAACACGGTAAATATATATACACCCTTAACATCGTTTCATGAAGCAACCACTTTAAAGTTTTCAACCCATGCAATAGCAACATGAGGATGACGGGATTTACCATAAAAGTAACTTTTACACTCTGTTAAAGACATCAATAATCATCACAATAAAATAAATGGACTCCACAAGTACTTCTACCCAAATTGCATACTCCATCCAACAATGAAAGGACAATCTGCATTAACCAATACCATAACAAGAAGCCAATTGTGTCCCAGATGAGACACATTCTCCTGTCTGTTTACTCTAACCTAGAAGCAAGTATTTGCAATTATTCATATTAGTTAATCAATGCATGCATCTTCATCTGCTCAAATGCTAACATCTAGTAAGTTCCACAACAATGGCATTGTCAACTAAGCCACATCCGAATACTCAACTGACAAAACTCTGGCCAACCTCACACCAAGTATGATTAGAGAAATGGAAATTTACCTGCTCAAGCTTTTTGGCATATTCTCTTCTGATGTCCAAAACCAATTCAACTGCACTTGGATTTACCAGGTCAGGAGGGATATCAGCAATGTCAGTAGTTGCAAGTGCTGGAGTATTACTCCTTCGCATAGCCTGAGCTTATAAGAAAGAAAGAGCATATTATCAAATAGCAGTGACTGCACTTTGCAAGGACATAAGCAAAGAATAAATATATGTCAGAATTGAAGCACTGTCATCATTAATCAAAATAAAAGCAAGGGAGCACAAGCAAGAGAACTAATTTAATAAGGGTTACAGAAACTAAATAACCTATGTACATATGTTACATTCTTCTTGGTACACTTAACTCAATAAACAAAAAATTTAAATTACAAGTCAACTGAATAAAGTGGCTGTAGTGTAGTGGTCACTTTGTAATATTGGTAATGCCACAACCCATATTCCACAAAAGCCAAAATCCAAAGATCAAGCCTCCACCAACTAATCCAACATCCGGAGGTGATCTGTCCATTCAAGAGACAACAGGTTCATTGAGGTCCCTCTTATAAGAACTATTTGATATGTTAAGGAGCAATCCATTTTACTTAAGGTGAGAGAGAAGATTTATGCCGAGTTCCTTACCAACTGCACAAAAATTTGTTAGGCAGTAAATGCAGCCTTGAATTTATTTCCAATTGTGAAGCCTTGAGTGGAGTTGGATTACACATTACTGTCAATAGTAGCAATTCCTTGAAACATATCTAACAAGTCTTTCTCTAGTCCAAGATATTTCACATTCTACTCATAAGATACATACCTACATTCAAAATCAATAAATCTATAAGGGTTTACTTTTTTCGTTTTTTTCTTTTTTTTCTTTTTTTGTTGTGGAAAGAAAATAACTCAACCAAAATCTATAAGGGCTTACTTAACAGTTAGAGTGAAGAAAAAGGACTTTGCAATGCGCCTATTTTATTAGTCACTTTCATCAAATGGTGATTTGAACTGTACTCATTCCTAAAATGACGGCCAAGGCTAAGGAAACTTTATAGTTATGCATCACTCCCTATCGTCTAACCTATATTCTTAACTACCTTCATTTTAATGTATCACTTGATGGTCAACATATCAGAATGATTGTAGCATAAACTTCTAATTCTGCTTAACATTCTGGCGTTCTCATACACAATGCAAACTTTAATTAAGAGGCCACAGAATCTATTATTTGCACAATGCAGCATAACATATACTCAAATTAGTAGCTCAAATTCCTAACTTCTTCTCTGAGCATGCGTACTTACCAGAGATACTGTACTACAAAAACATTTGCAACACTTATAAAAAGTGTTCCTTTCTTTAAGTCCGACAACTCCTAGAATTTAATTCATCCTAATGAAGTTGAAAAGACAACCGCAATTCAGCTAGCAAGCATTCTTACTAGAGGTAGGAGTAATACCAAAAGATTAGGTATAGGAATTCAATGTAAGAGTCCTATAAGAATCCTTTCTTTAGTAAGTAATAGAATGCCGACAACCAACAACCTGCTGCTAATTTCTTCTTTAATTGTAAGAATAAATAAATAAATCCATAAGAACTTACACTTTCAAGGTCATTTTGAATCTCAGAGATAGCACGTCTCACTTCAGATCGAACTGTTTCATATATACTAGTATCGGAATAGCTGCGGCCAGGATATGTTTGCGGAAAGACATTAATGGACATATTAATTTAATAGCAAAGATTACATAGATAAGTTTTGTCCAAATTACCTCTGCTTAAGCAGTGTCCTCAGCCTTGAGTGGTCGAAGTTGGGGAACTGAAGCTTATCATGGAAAAGTGGACTTGCATCAATTAACATTTTTATTTTAGAAAGCAGTGCAGCCCTGGTGGACCTAGCATCATCACATTTTGATATTCGCTCTTTCTCCCTGTTTTTTTATTTATTTAAAATAATAAATAAATAAATGAGGTTAATGTGAAACTTTAAAAAAATAGATAAAATAAAGATATTAAACAAACAACAGAAGGAAAAATCATCAAGCAAGATGCTAATATTAACACTACTAGTCATATCATACAAAATCAGAACATGGGTCAGCTTAGTTTTTACCAAATTTGCATCAGAATCTTGTGAATGCTGGCTGGACCATGTACGCAGACCTTTCAACTCATCCAACTCATCAGAACTGCTTCTAACTAAGGCGCCCTTTTTCCCATCACTGCCCACTTTATTCAACGAACCCCATACTTGTTCATCGTCACTCTATACACACAACAAACTCAAATTCATCTTCCTTTTCTCTTCCTCGACAATATTAACCCAAAAATCCAATCTGAAATATTCTGATTTGAATTGAAAGCAACACAACACCAAACCTTAGAATTGACGAAATGCCTCCTGGAATCCGGACCGCGGGAAATGGAGCGGTTCCGACCGCTCGGGTCGACCCGCGACAAGCTCCGACCCGCCTCCTTCCTCGTCCCCAAAGCATCGGAATTCCGCAACCCGGAGCGGCCCCTTCTAGAATCAGCACCAGCGGAGGTCGCCGGTCTCGAATCTTTCGATGTTGCAGCGTCAAGCTTGGTGGGTTTGAGTAGCTGTTGGGGGTCAACGGCTTGGGCGTCCGTTGACCAGAAGAGAGGGTTGTCTCTCTTGTTCAAGAAGCTTTCAGCGGAGGCGTCAAGGCTGGTCCTTGAGAAAGCGCTGACGCTTCTTGACCTTCTGAGCGGGGCTTTCTTTGCTGGGATGTTATTATCTTTGTCTGTGATTTGCTGTCTGCCAACAGATGAGGTTGTTGATGCTGAGGAATTGGTGGCGGCATTGCTCCTTTTGCTTGACGATTTGAAGGCTGAGACAGCCATCTTTCTATCTGCTTTCTAATTCTTGTTTGTTACAGAAATGGAAAATGGAAAGCAAAGTGGAAAATAAAAGGGAAGTGAATGAGAAGAAGAGAGAGTTTACAGAAACTTGGAGAAGGAATTTTGAGTGTCCAATTCAGTTGATTTTGGGTTTTTCTTTCTTTCTTTTTTTGTCAAAAGGATACTCATATTCTAGTGAGATGAAATGTCCATATCAAATATTGTAAGAAAAGAATATGCGTGGCGTGGGTAAGTGTAAGGCCGCCAGCACAATCACCATAAGACATAAGACAAAAACGAAGAAAGTGCTGAAAGTGATTCCTCTTCCGCCTTCGTTGTCATCATCATTTTTTGTGTGTGGATATTTTTTATTTTTATTAACCAGTAGATTGTTTTTTAATTTTTTTTTAACCAGAAAAACATTACACAGAGGTTTCTCCAAGGAACTCTAAATTCTTAACATCATAAAATATTTTGACAGTATTAGGCCATCTCCAACCATATTGGGGTTAAATTAAAATTTCCACCATTCAAAATACAACTATTTATGTATTTTCAGGACTCAATTTTATTTTTCCTCCAATCTTTTAGACTCATAATTTGAGTCGGCAACTTTATTAAATTGTTTAAGAATGATTAATCCATAATTTTTTTTTATCTTTAATTTTTCTTGACATTATTTTTGTTTCAACATTCGTTATTTAATTTTCTAAATATTTTTATCTAAAAAAATTGATATTCCATAAACATAACATTTCTTTTCACTTAAAATTAAAATGAGAATGTCATTTGTAGAGTTTGAGAGTGGGATCTCATTTAGATAAATTAAAAATATTATTTTAACCATTTGGTTTTAATTTCGACCATTGGATCTTCTTTTTCTCGTTAAAATCAAGTTGAAAAAAATATGAGCCGTTTATATCTCTTTGAGAAAACTTGAAAAATCACAAAAAGTTGGTTCTCATTGCTTGACTCGTGGCTAGCTTTTAAAGGCTCCAAAAGATTAGATAAAGAATTCAAAAAAACAAGAAGATGCATCATTGGTTTTCAAAGGGAACCGTTGGATTCCTACGTCCCTTTGATGTGAGCCTTCCATGCGTCCAGCAAGTTAGCTTTGTCTTGCCATTCCTTCACGTGCTGCGCAAGTTGGCTCCGACTTGGGGCCCACAGAAATTCCACCCTGACTGAAAAGTTGGGCCAAATTCTGCCTAAGATTTCAGTTTGACCCAAATTACCACCCCTCCCTATACATGGTTGGAGAAGGTTTTTGGGGCTACAATCCTAAAATTTGGGTTTGGCCCTCATGGTCGGAGATGGCCTTACCAACAACTGAGCAATCTCCCGTACATACTCAATCCAAATATCTAATTCATTTTATTTTTGAAACTAAATTTTTATGTGTGTCCTAAAGTGTCTGTCAATTGGAAATAGTGTTTATTTTGGTCCCCTAATTGTAACTAATTTTTTGGCCACAGCGTTCTAGGGTTTCTTTGCTTAAACATGGGGGATTGTAATACAAGGTTCTTTCATGAGCAAGCGAAATATCATTCTCATCTTAATATCGTTAATAGTGTATTATATGAGCGGGGCAACTATCGTACCAACGAGGAAGAAGTTGGCCAAATATTTATATACATGTTTCCTTCAGGGGGCACCATATGGAAAATGACTATCAACATGTTAGGTCAATTAGGTTAACAAGCTAGAAGGATTTGAGTGGGATTAGTTAGGTGAAATCGATGTCCTAATGCTTTATCATCTTTATTTTCATCTATTACATTATTTACTTATTCTTTAATTATATTTTTGTCATCGTATTTCTTTTATTGTTTAATTCAAATATAATTAAGAATCATTCTAATACTTAATAGATTAACTTGATCCATGTTGAAATGATAATCTATTTACTACAATATTAATTTAAACGATATTATCTACTTGTAATTAATCACATCATAAAGCCCCTTATTTTTCTGATTGGTCGAGCTTGGTTTGATTCTGTCATGCTGTGTGGTCATCGAGTAGCTTTGTTGTTTTTTTTCCCTTTTGATGTATTGTCCTTTTTGTTGGCTTAGCCCCTTGGAGCTCTTAAGTTGCATTGTAACTGGTTCCCTGGTTCATTTGTTCTGTGGATTACCTCCAAAGAATCAAATATTAATCATTCTGTAGGCAAGTGAATATATACAATTCATCAGTAATTTTGTATATCAAAAGGCAAGAAGGATTTTACTAGAAATATAGACAAGAAGGATGATATTTTAACAATAAATTAGCAAGGTTCTCATTCTGTATTGTGCCAGCACTGATGCTAGGGCATCCCTAGGCTTGACAAACCCAAAAGCAACCTCAGCTGCAGCCACAGCACCAACACTCGCTTAGAGCTAAGGAAGTAGTTCATCTTCTTGTTCCAAGTTAGAGCTGAAAATTTCTCAGCATGACATCAAATTCTCAGCATCTTTGGCGTACAACAACCACAACCCACACTTCTTCACCTGAACTTTGTAATCCTTAAGGGGAAACCCGTTTAAATCCATCAGGAAGAAATCTACAGAGGCCTCAGTGATATTGTAAAAACCAGTGCCACTGGAGTATTTTGCTGCAGCTACAAGCATGGATGCAGTATACCATGCAAACACATAATCTGAATTGAAATTCTTCCGTCCAGAGCTACTTATATCCTTATACAGACGATGCAAATGACACCTGATTTCATGGCCTTCACCATTACTGGATTTGAAATTGGCTGTACATGCAAACTTCAAACCCGCCCGTTTAACATTATAGTTGTTGAATTCAACGACAAGGGATAGAGCTAAACCCAAGAAATCTGTACGAAACCAATTTGGAGGAAGGGTGACATTTATTGAAGATCCCTCGTTTTGATAGCTGAACCAATTTGGAATTTCATTTCCTGGACATACAATGCTAACTGAAGGACTTGCAGGACCATAACCCTGTACCGTGGATGGAAGTTGTGCTTATTGAAGGCTTAATGAGAGAGACAGAGACAGAGACAGAGACAGAGAGACAGAGAGAGACAGAGAGAGAGACATACATAATACACATCGTCTGTAGGGTTTGATGACGCAGTTGCCATTTGCATAATTCTAAGCTGTGCTTCACCCATCATATTCCTCCAAGCATTCTGATGCAATATTAGAAAACATAAGTTAATTCCTTGCCAAGTTGTAGAAAAAAAAAAAAGATCAAACACATCCAAACCTTCAGTGACGTGCAGCCATGCGCTTCAAGATGACGCAGCACAGGGAGCTCAGGTAAAGATGGAAGGCTCTTGCAATTTGTTAACCACAGGTAACGCAGCTGAGAAGCTTGTTTGATGCTAGCAGGTAAGCTCTGAATCATGGTTCCACTTAGATTTAAAGATCTTAATGACGTTAAACAAACGAGGGGATCCGGGACTTGTACTATATTGCAGTAACCGAGGTCTAGTTCTTCCAAAGAGCACAAACCGATCGAGAAGGGAGGCAGGCTTTTAAGTTTCAAACAGCCATAAAAACTGAGAGTTTTAAGACAGTTTAGATGGTAGATGCTGTCTGGGACAAACTCAAGGTCCTTGCACCGGCATAGATTAAATGTTTGAAGCCCAATCAGATTTTCAATCTCCACGGGTAGCTCTTTAATTGCTGTTTTAGATAAATTAAGAAGTTCCAGATGTTCAGTAGGCTCCAAGATGTCGGGGAAGCATTCAAAGTTAGAGCAACCATTGAGATCAAGACTCTTAAGAGATTTCAACTTAAAAATGCTGGTTGGCAGACTCACAAGCCTTTTGCAATCATTCAGGTAAATTGTAGTGAGACCAAAGAGACACTCGATTGATGAGGGCACCACTTCTATTGCTGTCCAAGTCAAATCTAATACACTTATATTCCTGGGAAGTTCTGAAATCTTACCGAGAGATGAGCAGCCCCCTAGAAGAAAACCAAAGCATTTTAGCTTGCAACTGCTGCTGGGAAGATTCTTAAGGTATTTACAGCGTTGAATATTCAAGAAAGAAATTTTTTTGTTAGACCAAACTGATGAAGGCAATTCCTCAATTGCAGTGCTTTCTAAATTCAATAATTCAATATTGCCTGGCATCTCCTGGAGATATTTGAGATTTGAGCAGCATCCCAGGTCAAGAAAAGTAAGATTGCCAAGATACTGGAAACACAAAGGAACTCGAACCAAACTTGTACAGCCATAAAGATTTATATGCTCCATTTTTCGACTCTGAGAAAGATCTGGAAGTTCTGTAAGATGTTTGCAGAAACTAAGATCGATCAACTTTAAGTTCCCGAGATAAATCTGTAACAAATTAAAGAGAAATTGCAAGAATTAGTAACTTGGCCTAAATAACTACATTTTATACAAGAAGTACGATAAGCATATATACCAGGTTTTCTTCCCAAAGTTGCTTAACCAGGCTGCGGGGCATTTTGAGCTCAACAAGATTTTCTGGAGAAAATTTTGATGGCAAAGATTGCAAAGGGTATCCATCCCAGTAAAGATACCTAAGAGATTCAGGAAGAGTCTGAAGACCTTGAGAAAGGTATAATTTGCAGTACTTCTGGCCATAGCTACAATCATAAATTTCTAGCAATCTTAGATTGTACATCTTTTTGAAGGCTGTACGACTCAAGTGTAGCTCTCTAATGTTAGACGTGTTAAAGGATATGGCTTGAACCATTGCAGTTGCCTGACAATAAAAGAGCAACTATAAATGAGAATGATAATACAATACACAACAAAATTTACTCAAACTACATCTGTAGACATAAATTTCCCACCTTTCCATAGAAATTTTCATGATTAGAATTTTTTTAGAGAGAGCAAATGCATTTGGATCTTACTGTATTGTTTTTGAGTACATGACAGACATCCTCAGCAATGAACAACCTATCACGCTTTCCGGGCTCAATACATTGTTCGCGAACAATTTCCCAACCGATTTGTTGTAGCAAATCATGCATCTCTAGGCAATAACTTGTTGAAATTGATATTAGAGATGTATCAATGAGAGCTCCAATTCCCGCCACAAAGAAACCACGAATGTCTAACATTCTTTTCACAAAATCCACGTTCATTCCTTTATAAAAACATGCTATATCAAGGAATATCTCTTTCTCATTTTTTTCTAATCCATCATAACTTAGTCTCAACACATTCTGAATTTTTTTGCTGGGAAAGTT